ACGAAACAACTATAACGAAAGTTTCCACACGCACACCCACCAAAAGAAAAAGTAGCGTATAAGTGCTCAACATTGGACAAAAAGATGATAAAGTCAAATACGATTTTAAACTAGAGCTTCATTTGATTCAACAGAAGTTTCCCATTAACTTTCCTGCTAAACCTCAGTCTGAAGAACTCCTCGAGTGGCATAGTCCTGTACAGTGCATTGTTTGCCTTAACAATATCTGGCAATGGACCAATCTGAGTTCCCTTTTTTGGATTGTGAAATGCTGCAATTGAAGCCGCTCTTTCTCCTGATTAACCATAGCTCTATGCTCTATGCTCTATGCTTTTATATTCTCCATTGCTCATAATTTGCATTTATAACATTTGTTTAGTCTTTGCTAAGGCAGATTTCATATACAAGTTCAAATATTGTTATATTACCTATTTACCTCCATCATGTCTCCAATATTGGTGATCAATGCACCAGGGATGGGTTTGACAGGGATCCATTTGTCATTTCTCTTGATTTGTAGTCCTTCAACTTGATTCACTTGAAGCAAGAGTGTTAAGCTGGTAGCATCAGAATGTGGGGATGCATCAAAAACCCTGCTTGCCTCTAGACAAGGTGGATAATAGTTAATTCTTATTCCTTGTGTTAAATCCTGAAAAAAACTTGCAAGCTTCTCCGGATCAGTCCCCAGGTTATTGGCAATAAACTTCATGAGTTGAATCATAACCTTATGCAACTCCATTGAGTACTTCTCAAAGCTTTCCCTGAAAACAGCTCAAGTTCAGTCTCCCTATTCTTTCTTTCTTTCTTTTTTTTTTTAATAGTCTGAGTTGATTATAAGGGTTTAGAATTGTTTAGCCTATGACAACGCACACATACCCTATGGATCGTTTTTGACTTTACCTGAATTAAGGGGGATTGGTCGGCCAGAATCTCATGTTTCTTAAGGAAACAGGCAGGGGGGGAAAGGTAGAGCATGTCATTCCAATCAAGCTTCTGATCTTCAGAAAAAACAAAGGCTTGACCATAGCCTTCTTTGTGATTGGGATTCTGAGCACAAGCAATCTTCTCCTCCAAAGGCAAGTTGAAGAACTCCTTCGTGTAAGTCTTCATTTTGTCAATCACTTCATCTGCTACCCCATGGTTGATTAACTGTTGCACACATCAGTAAAAGATGAACTACCAAGTCCATTGATGTAAAAGAAGTAGAGATTGTGTTTCGCTTAGGTGCCTGGAAGAAACCCCAGTCTTTGCAAGCCAAGTGGAGCTTTTTGAGTTCATCATCATGACCTAGTTTACTCATGTCAATCACGGGAATCTGCAGGGATTCATCTATGGAAACGACATCTAAGTCAACCTCTGGTCTGATATATCTCGGTGGGATTTTCTCCAGGTTCTTGGATGCTAGGGGCTAGGGCTTGAACGTTGTCAACAGGTAAAGAAACACCAAATCCTCTGCTCATCACCTTTGTTTCCATTTCTGTAAAGCTAAGTTCTCATCTGGGAAGAGTTTAATTTCTGTTTATAAGCTAAATAAAACACTAACATAGTTACGTTACTGCTTTAGGTAATTTCTTAAATCATCCTTTAAAAAAATACCTAACCATTTTGTCTTTTATAAGAATTATCCCTGTTCTTTTACTCTTTAAGCCTTTAGAAGCTGCATGAATGACCCATAAGGTGAGAGGAAGAAATATGGTATAGCAATTGCCATATCACAATTGTTCGATGCAATTATTTTCACATCTAACTGTTTCTTTTATCATTTTCATGAAGAAACCTACGATTCTTTCTTAGACAACTGCTTTCCGCAAGGACGCCTTTATTATCCCTTTTAGTTAATGGTTGAAACATTATACGGTGAAACCAATTCTTGAAAACAACGGTACCATTTTGTCATAATCCACTCAGCAGCTTATCGTCCAACTCAAATAACTGTCAATTTTTATCATAGTTTGGAACATATTAATAGTCGGCGACCGTTTTGTAACTTTTAATAGTCATGAGACTCAACAAAATAATGTCCTATAGTCGGAGGACCATCTTATAACTTTTAATAGTCGAGAGACTCAACAAAGCAATACCTTATAATCGGGGACCATTTATATACTTTACCCTCTATTTTTCTTAGTACAAATAGATATTTAAATTTGTTTTAATAATACAATTAGGTATTTAATTATTTTTATGATACAAGTTGAGATCTAATATATTTTAATTATATATGTTCAATTATAATTAGTTCATACTTATACTTTTAATATTGTGCAGTTAAAAAGGACAATATATGCTTTATCTAAAACTTTTATTTATTCAAGTAACGTGTAAGTTTTTATCTAAAATAATAATTTGATTTTTTAAATATATTTTTTTAAAAATGAATTATAATATCAAATTAATAATATAATAAAAAATAAAAGATATTTCTGTTGATTAAAAGGTTTCAATAATCTGTATATTATAGATATACAACATAGAAGTAGCTTACTACATCAACTAGTTGGTTTGTTTGTTAAGTCTGATGAAGGCCCTGCTTTGTCATTTTCTTGAAGAAGCCTAAAGCCTAAGGATTAACAAACCTACAGTTCTTTCTAATTTCCCCATCAATTCCAGTTAGTACATTTATATTCCCCATCTTAACAACTGACTTTGCAAATGAACTGAAGAAAAGCTCTTGATCTGATGCAAAATCCCAAACCAGCTTCTTTATCTCCCCTTCATGGTCTTCATTCACCAACACGTTATCAGATCCTAACAGTCCATTTCCTTGATGAATGTTGATGTAATATTGATTGTCGAATTTTGCAGGAGTTAAGAAATCGAGCGGTGCGATCGCTTCGTCCCTTCCTGATTCCGGGCATATGGACCGGAGGATTCTTCGAAAAGTCCGGTATCGTTGGTACTTGTCGTACTTTTCTTCCATGTTTATATCGTAAACTCTTTGTCTGAAACTCAAGCATCTAGCCTTACCAAATGTATGGCTACCTGTTCATTTCATTAATCAAAGAATTGATTTTATGGTAGTGTTCCAATATGCATATATACATGCATGCATGCAATTTGCATACATACATTAAGGATTGAGAGAGAGACCTGACAAAGCAACCAAATCTTCTACATCGAGACCTTGTTGGTTAAAGTTGGCAATGAGAGTCTCCAGAGAGGAATTTGGGGTTGGAATGAACTGGTTTGCACCATCAAAAGCTTGCTTTCAAGGAGTCTTTCCTCCCTAACCAGACCTCCCAACTTGGGCCTCCTCTCTGGTGAAACAGAACACTTGGTTATGACGATGGTATTACAACGGCTGCCTCGAATCATTTGGTATTAGATCAGACATATATAGTAACATAAAGAAAAACTGTGAGTTTCAAATACCAATGTGACGGAATCACGAGCGACCATTGCTAGAATATCGGCACAAGAGACGGTCAAAGGACAAGCCTCTTCCAAAAGGTGCTTGATCTTATCGATGACTTCGAATCCACGCAACGAATTCAGGTTAGGCCCTGCTTGCTTTTCACTAATGATGTCTCCATTGTTGTCCAAAAGAATTGATGCATCACATCCCTAGCACCCCAAATACTATTTTCATCAATTAAACCATGGAAACTGAAACAGAAAAAGAAATCTAACCATGACAAAGCAATCGTGAAAATGCAAGCGAAGGAGCGAAGCAGCCATTCGAGGATCTTTAAGCACTGCAATCTCGACATTCCTGCTAACAATCTCTGCTGCCAAGGGACATGTTTCTTTGTAGTAATCAAGATACAGTAGTCCATCTTCGACGCTCGATGTAATTTTAACTGCGTTTAAAACCGAAACCAAGAGTATACAGAATGCTCTAGTAATCTCCATTGAAGCAAATGAAAAGAACCCTACATATGGAATCAAGGTAGCTCGTAGGAATATTGCAGCAACATATAGCTATCTATATATGCGTGCACGTTTTGACAGTTATGGTTTTCTTGTACCATTAATGCATCATCTGTTATTTTCAAACCTAATTGTCTTTAAAATATTCCTTTGAGCTCTTTAATCAAAGTTGATGCAACTAACCCAACCAAACCGTTGTCTTTATTTTCTGTAACTACTAGTCTTGCCACTGCTACAGTCTGAATGATCCGATTCAAAACCGAGAACGAAAATTTCAACACATATGTTGTAGTTTAAGCTCTTGTTGTGTTATTAAAATCAATAAATGCATAGTCAAATTATGGTTCTGTCTAACTCTTGAACAGTTGAACCTTTTCCATCATTCTGAATTTTCAGTAAACTTCTGAAAGTGCCAATTTAGTTCATACCATCACCAAAGTTTGGATTAAACTTCACATGAAAGAAGTTGAATTATGTACATTATGCAAGGAGTTTAAACTGCAAAGCTGAAATTTCTGCAAAATTTCTGTGATTTGAACTCGACCTTTAAGAAGAGTTTGAAGAAATATAAACTTATAACAGTAACTATATGACAAAAATAAAAGAATTTGTTTCTATACATTCAGCTCCACCGACATGACAAGTTTTAATGCTGTTGTTAAATCTATATCATAGTAGTCTGGTTCCCACCTCTTCAAACTTAAGGTCTGTTTATTTCACTGAAAACGTTTTTCGAAAAATGAAATCTGGAAAATGTTTTACAGAAATGTAAATAATTTTCTAGAAAATATTTTCTAGTGTTTGGATGGTACATTGTAAAATGTTTTACACTGTTTGATTAATTTTTCTGAAAACATTTTTCAGAATCTGTTTTTAATAAAGAATATATACATATTGGATATGTTTTATTATTTATTATTTTTAAAGGTTATTTTTTATATATAATTAAATTTTATAAAAATCTGTATTTTAGATAATATTAATAATTGATTAAAAATATATTATAAAAATTTATAAATCCTAAGAATGTTTAATTAATAGTACATCAAATTAAAACAACAATATTAAATAATATTGTAATAATAATAATAGTGTCAAAAATATGACTTTCAATGTCTTCTCATTACTACTAAAATCAAATGGATTGGTTGACGGATTATTGTCAAACTACATAAGCTCAGTAATTCGCTTGCATATAATAAGACAAAGACTTATCATAAATGGTGCCGGTATGTTAAACTTTGCACCGTTTAAGTATCTTAAGCCACAAAAAGCTTTGATTCAATGGGGTTATGACTTCTCAAATTGCGACTCATCGCAATGTGGGTCTAGCCAATCCCTGGGGGAACCCTTTGACATATTGGGGCTTGCTTTCCCACCACCTACAAGCTCTTTCAAATTTTCCACCTTGTTCTCTCGCCCTGCCCCGCCGATCCTTCTATCAGCTTCTTTTAGTTTTTGTTTAAACCGTTGCTTACGACTGGACATGTTTAGCTCCTTCTGCCATGATTGTGATGGTGGTGCACCATGCGATCCCAAATAAATGTTCTCTCCTTTTTTGGTCTGCACAAGCACAACAATAAATCACTAATTCACTATGTTCATTGGAGACATGGAAACTCTCACCCTCTCTACTGATAACAATCAGAAAATGATGTAGCATATTCTCTCTAATCCTAAAAGATGATCCTTTACAAGAGGCCACTTAGCACAACCATCTATGAACTATGTGCGAAGATATAATGATTTGCACAACTAGTCGGAACAAAATTTCGACAGAGATTTCATGGGAACAAAATGAAGCATTTCGGTGCATAAATCTCCTACGGTTTGCAAGACATGACAACGGACGGAGCAAATCTAGGACTACAGTATTATTGTACAAAATGAGTGTAGAAAAAGTACATTTTGCATGACAGACGATAATTTAGACATTAAATAGATAAATGAATCCTGGGGATGTCTTAGGAAAATATACGGCGTTACCGGATACATTAAAAGATATTTAACAAATTCGGTTTAGCGCTACCGGAAATGTTGACTAATAATAATGTAGTAGGTCTAAGTCATGAAGAAATATTAAAAAATTGTGCAACCGGCAAACTTAACTTGTCGGTTCGTGTCGATCCAAATTAAAAATGTATTGATCCACAACGATATAACAGGTAAAACTATGACAAAATCGGTATTGAAATGATAAAACCGGTAAAGCGGTACCGAATATATTTAAAGTGTCGGTACTTTAATATAAAGATCGACACTTCGTTAATTTAAAAGAGAAGCAGTTTTAGCGCCTATAAAGTGTCGATACTTTAAAAAAAATGTATCGATGCACAACGATATAACAGGTAAAAATATGATAAAACCGGTATCAAAATGATGAAACCGGTAAAACGCTACCAGATATATTGAAAGTGTCGATACTTTATATAAGGATCGACACTTTGTGAATTTAAAAGAGAAGCAGTTTTAGCGTCTATAAAGTGTCGATACTTTAAAAAAAAATATCGATCCACAACGATATAACAGGTAAAAATATGATAAAACCGGTATCAAAATGATAAAACCGATAAAACGCTATCGGATATATTGAAAGTGTCGATACTTTCGTAAGTACGTGTAATAAATTATCGATACTTTCAAAGAAATACGTAATTATCCTTTCGAAAGTATCGACACCTGACATAAAAGTATCGACACTTTTGTATTTGTATCAATTAAATATAAATAACATATCCGATGAAAATATAAAGGTCATAGCTAAATATCCTCTGAAAATAGATAGAACGGACGAGTTTTTGTAATCAAAGCGTAATTGTTGCTGCATTTCAGAAGGCGTTTCTAAAGCGAAGTTTGTTTGTTTGTTACTGCAGTCAAATCGAAAAGTATGTTGTCGAAACCATAGTTTTTTATTATTACAGTAATCGCGAATAGGGTTTTTATGTGTTGTTTGGGGTTTTGGAGTAAAGAAACATTTGGGACCGATTGCAAGTAGAAAGTGATATTCAAGGTAAAATATAAATGTCGATACTTTTATTAAATATTATAGGTAGAAAATGATATTATAGGTTGTATAAATGTGCCGACACATTTTGTAGTGGCCATTCAAATTCTTTTGAAGAAAACCGTTTTACCACAAGAGTAGTTATCTATATTTGTATATTGAATAAAGTGTATGTAACAAAATAATTTGATTTGCGTAAACTGATATATGAAGGAAAAATGGAGTCAATGGGTTGGAAAATTGTTGGTGGCGCAGATGACTTTGAAATTGAGGCCGAGACTCGAAAGCAACCAAAGGGTGGATATATGTACTTCTAGTAAGTATCAATGTCTTTTTGTTATTATTGTTGAAATGGTAATTGGATTAAAGTATCGATAAACTTTAAATTGATTACAAATTTTAAATGTTGACAGTATGGCCGAATGAAAAAGGATGAAGGAAGATGGCACACAGAGCGGTTCGGTATGTAAAATGAAATTGACATTGAGTATTATTTAGTGTTAATGTATTGATTAAGAAACGTTTATGTTTAATATTAAGTGACAAAAGATGTGAGGTCCAAATGGAATTCGATGAGTGATGCTGAAAAGGAACATTACATCACACAATCAAGGAATGATAGTAAAGAATACAAAGAACGGAGGAAAGCACATGAAATAAGGTATTCATTAAACTTGTAAATACGTTGATACAAAATATATAAGAACTATAACATTATATATTGTTAAAAAATGTAGGAAGTGTCGACAAGATGCAGCATTAAAAGTGTGAATTCATTAATTAAACACCTTAAGGAGAAGGGTCAGTTGAATGTGCTGGGAGAAATAGGTTTTGGATCGTTGGTAGGAGTAAGGGATCGACCTATTCGGAGGGAATTGTGTCGATCCTTGATGGCGCAATTTGATGTCAGACAATGTATTGCTAAGTATGGTGATTTTTCATTTCCTCTCGGGATCCCATGTGCTGCAGCCGTATTGGGGGTAGAAAATGAAGGCAAAAGTGTTGTAGAAGTCTGTAAGAGTAAGGACTGGAAAGCACTTGCCTCCAAATATGGTTTGAAGCAGAAGGTAACATATGCTGAAATTGAAGAGAAAATAAAAAGTGGATCTTACGGGGGGGATGAGCTGAAGGCCAGAGTTCTATTATACCTTGTCAGTATCTTTCTTTGTCCAACGGGTGATACGTCAACGAACAAGGAATATATGAAGCTCATTTGCGATGAAGGCTTGAAGGGTGAATTCAATTGGGCTGAATATATCCATTCGAGATTGATTGAATCAATAATCACCTTTAAAAAGGGCAGCCAGAGATACCTCAAAGGGTGCATAGCAATCTTAGAGGTAAATGAGTTGAAGAACTTTTTTGTGTTTTATATAAAATGATAGTATAGTTATTATATAAAAATATAAATTTTATTATAAATGCATGTTGCACTGTTCGATTTTTGGTTGGGCTGTGAGGCAGTGCTGGCTTATGAAAGAACCGGAGTGGCACGCATCCGTGCATGGGGGAAGGAAATGGTGGTTAGAGTGATGGTGAAGTTGAAGTTAGATAGAGCGAAGAAGCAAGAAAGGGTAATAAATGTAATTAAATAATATTAAGAATATAATCAATGTCTTAATATTGTAATTTAATTTTGAAGGTTATTGGCAAGGATGTAGAGGAGGTAGTGGAAGCAGAGGAGAAGAAAGGAGAGATGGTTGTATTGGGGGATGGCGGTGAGGGGGACGGCGGTGAGGGAAAACAGAGTAACTTCGACATTTTGATGTCTGAATTGGCTGATATCAAAAAAATCCAATTTTATATCATGCAAAGACAATCAAGAGTCGAAGAAAAACTTGATAGAGTCGAAGAGAAACTTGAGAGAGTCGAAGATACACTTGAGAGGCATAAGGGGGTAGTAGAAGGAAAAATAGATGGAGTGGTGAAAGAAGTAGAGGTGTTGAGGGGTGAAGTGGTGAAAGAAGTTGAGGTGTTAAGGGGTGATCTTAAGATGGTGACGAGTGAAAATTTTGAGGGAGTGGTGAAGGAGGTTGTGGAATTGAGGAGTGAACTTACGGGGGTGAATGGGGTGGTTGATAAATACTTGGATGAAGGAGATCAATTGAAGGGTGAAATAAAAGAGATGAAAGCTATGTAGAGAAAAAATATGATGAACTGAAAAAATATGAAGAAGAAAAGAGGGAGGATGAAGAAGAAGAGATGGAAGAAAAGAGGGAGGAGGAAGAAAAGAGGGAGGAGGAAGAATAAGAGATGGAAGAAATAAGGAGGAAGGAAGTCGATGTCATTTATACACCGGAGAGTGTTATAGCAGCAGATTTGGATTCGGAATGTCCTGCACCCCAGAAGAAAAAGCAGAAGGTAAGTTGAATAAAAGAAAACTTAATTTGATCTTTATTATGTTGTTGTGACAAAAATTTGTATGCAAAATTATAAGTTGAAAAAGCGGATATTCCAAGCGGAATTGATGACATCAAAGCTGCAATTTGTGATTATTTATGGAATAGTGAGTTAGAATCGGGGTAAGTGAAATATAATGCTTTGTGAGTGATATTTAAATATTTCATGATAACATATTAATCCTAATGATTCATACATATATTTTGTAATCTCAATGGGAAATCAATTTGCTACTGTATACGACGTTGCAACGTTGAAGCCTACGGAATGGGTTGGCAGTGTGGTAAGTAGAAAATAGAAAATGTTAAAACTTATTGAATATGTTCTGATTGTGTAATTAATTTTGTTAGGTTATTGATTTACTCGCCTGGACAGTATGCTACGATTCTCATAAGTCACTCCGGAAGATTGGCTACCTTTCATACCACTTAGCGGTGAGTTAAATTAATAAATGGAGATAAGTAGTGTTATAGACGGTAAATTAATAATGTTTGTTGCGTAATTGCAGCATCAGGCGTTGGATGCCAATAACAAAGAAAGTGTTGAGAGTATTGGTACCTTCTGGGGTCCCATATTGGATAACTATGTGAAATACACCGACTGTGAGAAGGTAAGACACCATACCAATTGTAAATGATGTTTTCGGATATAGAATGTTGAATTTTGTCAAATTGGGTGTGAAATTTGTTGCAAATCATGATCACAATAAACTACCATAATTCACATTGGTATATGTTGGTGTTGGATATGGTAGATCGTGTTGCAACAATATATGATAGTATGTTTACATCTGAAGTAGCTAAACAGAGAGTGAAGGATGCTAAGAGATTGGTATGTATGTATGTATGAAAGGACATTATGTAAATTATAATGCATAATTTTTTTGGATCATAACTTCTTCTTTTTTAATGCAAATTAAAATATTAGATTTTTATAATAAAAAACGTATTTGGGTTGAATACTGTGGATCTCTAGGAAAGTTTCCCTTGAAAATTTTCAAATTTGTGGAGCATAAGAAGAATAAGCAATTGAATGGGTATGAGATGTTATCATAAATAGAAAGCTTAATTTATGCAGGATTCATCATAATTGACATGTGTGGTTTTCAAATTTTGTAACAGACATGATTGCGGCATGTATGTGATGATGTGGATGGAATCGATCGGTTCTACAGGGGCAACTGGTGATTTTGTAACTGGAAAGAAAAATCTGTTTGTGGTAAAATTGTTAAAAGTCGTAGATTGAATGATGTAGTTTACAATACTTAACGTTCTGACAATTTGAATATAGGTTGTTGGAGAGTGGGATCGATCGCGAATATTAAACGATCTCGTAAGCCACAATCAAAATCAACGAAGACAGGAGATAACAAAAGCTACCATGAGACATAAGAATAACAAAAGGATGCAATGATGTAAATGTAGGGTTAATTTTGTATAAGATTTATAATTTTGTATACGATTTATAATTTTGTATGTGAATGTAATTATGAATGAGATGAGAAAAGTTAGCAGTAGGTTGTTGTACATGTTTCTTATACACATTAAGAGTTATGTTGATACTTACGATATATGGAGATTGTTGTATGTAT